ATGTATTCTAGAATCACGTTTCCGTAGATATTGTTAACGTATGATTTTGAAAACATAAAATATTTCGCATGATACTTTAGTCTTTATGGTCATGAAAATATAATCACCAGAAAAATGACCCTTCAAAATAAACATTATAATCGATGCAATTTATTTTTGCATGTTTTTAACTACAGGACATTATTATGCGCCGTAGATAGTTGTCGTTGTATCACGAGTGTTCATAAAACAGCCGTTAATGACCTAAAGACCAGTTTTATTAGTAGATAATTGTTTGAAAAGTCTTGTTTCGGGCTCCTAGTAGAATGATAATTATATATCAGATAAATTGTGATTTGGAGGTATAAAAAAAAAAAATACGACACTGTATACAGCTTACGCGTTGCGTTGTTTTGTCTATTACACTTTCATCGATACGTTGTATAAATGTACATAATATATCCTTTTATACATATATATATATATTGTAAAAACGCCAACAGGTACTTCATATTGCATTTTAAAAGAAAGTTGCATACCCACATAATATATTACAACAAACAAACAATGTCAGATAATAGTGTAAAAACTATAATATTTACATATTATTATTGCATGACGGTATCTTTGTTCCATATTTTATTAAAAACTAACAACGTTTATAAAAAATTTTCTTCAACTCATTACGGAGATCAATAAATAAAATATCCGAATGATTTGTTTAAAAATTTCATGTCGGCCTTTGAAAATACTCTAGCACAAAGAACATGACTTGCCGGGGCTTTTAGAAAATTGGCTTTTTCTTTCATCCACATATCTACGTATTTTACTTTCCTTGTTATTATTGTGTTTGCCGTTCGGACACGAACAATTACCCGCACTAATAAAAATGTATGAACATACTAGAAGAGTACTTAATGTAAGTTTATCGCTTCATTGAAACTACTACTATATCGGTACTCATGTATCGTGAATTCAATAAATTATTTTTCAAAATTCCGATTACCTTTATTTTTACCCCCAACTCAGTGTCCACCATTAATCTTATACTATTTTTAAACGTATTGATCTATCCGTATACTGTCATTACAATATATATATTTCTTACATAATATAGTTACTCTGCGTAATCCTCGTGTTAAACATCACAATTTCGTCGTCAATATCAACCGCGTTATCAAACACATTATTTATGTTTTTAATAACCTAAATTTTCACTAACGATACGATAATATTATATCCACCTCACGTCGTTCTTTTACCAAACACGGTCCCCTTGTTGACCATAAAAATGTTCTTGTACTTATTGCTATTGCTTGATGTCGAAAAACGCATTTTTCCCGATTATGTCATATACAATTTCGGTAAAATTAAATGTCAAAAAGTTACAATGATTTCGTTGGAATATACACGCACAAGAACTGTGTAGGTACATATATAAAAAATGTGCCGTAAATTATATATATATATATATTATGTCAGTATGCCAACTGCATCATACCTTTAACCGTTTTCGTTTTCTGAACCATATAGTTCCTACCTAAATAATATATTGTTACGCACGACGACTTGTTAAAAAATATAATCATGACACAGCTTTAAAATAATGTATCATTATTACTGATAATAATCCAGTTTCTCAAACTCTAAACATAGACTATATTATATTATTATTATGTTTATGAATATATTAAAATGATATTGTATGATAATTAAAAATGAAAAAGAAAATTTAAATCTATCCATCGATCGCTGCCGTTATTGTTTAATAACAATGTGAGCGTACCTATCAAACTTTTGGAAATTACATGTTTGATAAATGAATATTATCACTATGTACTGTGCTGGTTGGATTTTAAAATAATTAATATTAGACAATTAAATAGTATTTACGTATGTATACTGTAAGCAGTAAAAACTAAAAACCATTATTTTCAATTTCTCGTGAGCTAGAGTAAATGTTATTTTTTTCAAATATTCATTGCACTTAAATTGATACTTTGGTGGCTATTTCTACACATATATGAATTAATGACTTTTAATATTGAATTTATTTAATTTGCAAACTCGCTACAGATACGTTCAATGGCATAATTACAAGCCAATTTTTTAAATAAGAAAGTATTAAGTTATAAATCATATAAAATTAAATATTTACGTATTTTTATTTCCTTTAAACAATATAAAAACAAATTCTTTGCATAAGTCCTTGGAAATATCATATTTTTAAATACTATATACAACACAATATAATATGTATGGCGGTTATATGCATAGATTTTATGGATAAAATAAATTTATATAGGAAGACATATACACAAATTCACTATGAAATAATATATTTATATTTTGGAATTTCAATAACTTTAAAATCGATATACATCATTCTATTTATTGGAGCGGATAATTCGAAATTTGTTTTGTGTTTTTTTAAATAGAATATAGTGAATGCTTTAATTGATGACCTAGTTCTAAATTGAGGAACAGAAAAATTGAAAAACTTAATAATTTAAGACAGAAAACAAATCCATTTAAAAGTTCGTATAAAAAAATTAGATCATTGATTTCCCTTTTGTTTGATAAGCTGAGGATATATTCTATATTATTCTGTTGTTTATTGTTTATTAACATAATTACACGGTTAATGTCATTAATATTATTTATTATATAAAATTATGAACTATTGTATTACCAGGAGTATTATTCGATTTTAAAGTTTTTTTTTTTTTTTTATGGTGGTTTAATGGTTTTGATTGTTATGGAATTAATATTAATTTAACGAATCATATATCTATTCCCGTGTGTAGTATTATGGAATTAAAAATAATAACATTTTATATATTTTAAAAGTTAATTATAATTGAAGTCCATCTAAGAGAATACTGAAAAGTCTAATATATAATACAATTCACGTAGGTATTAAATACAATTTGTCGTAGAGCTGTATAGAATAACTAACGACGAGTATTTTTATACATGATCATTGATCAAATAATAAAGATAAGCCGCTTAGCTTCCGGTAGAATCGTAGGCGTATATAGCGTCCAATTATATTTAAAGATTGGATTATATTTATTTATTATAATATTACATATTGTATAAATATATATTTTTTTTCATAAAAATTTAGTTTTTGTTATTGAAATCATACTAATATATTATACAGGAAGGCAATCATCACTTGGATCGGGAAAAGATAGATATTTTCAATTTATATTTTTTTGCATTGTATCTTGAACACTCGACTAATCGCTTAAATATATAAAAATATGACATAACTTTTTATTAAAATAAGCAATATATAATTTTACAATACATATAATACAATAATTAATAATGATTTAACATAATTATTTTGATTAAGCAATGTGATCGGTCCTCGTATATATAGTTTTATAATCTAGATAATACAATTATTTAACCACAAAAGAATTGAATATATTTTATATAAAGTTACTAAATTAACAACTTCACCCACTAAATCTTGAATACTTAGATAACATTTTGAAGGTATAGTTAATAATATATCATTATAGATACAATGAGTTGTGATCATGGATAATTTTTAATTAATGAAATCTTGTACTTGTATTTATTGTGTTCGTTTAGTATTATTCACGCCAAAAACTTAAGTGAAAATTCAATTTAAAATTTAATATATTTATTAAAATGCTATGATATAACTTCTGCATTAAATATTTAAGCTCAAACTAGACACGTTTACTCGCCATTTCACCGATTTGCGTGTGCAATGAATAATTTATACTTTTAGTAACGGTGTTATTAATATATTAGTGTTGCGCCATCTCTGATCCACGCATCAATATTGTTAGAACCAGAATTCATATTAAAATTGTATAAACTTAAAACCATCCATTCTGTTAATTCCTATCGTAGTATGTTACTATTACTGTCTCAATTGGCATATGGGTTACGGCGTGTTTTTGATTTATCGTTCGGACCGCCGTACAATAAATTTCACCAACGTCAAAAATAACCGTATTATTATTTTCCAAAATTGCCGGTGCTCTGGAACAAGAGTAAGTCGTAGTTTTCTGTTCGTCAAAGAACAGTGGTGGGTCATGCTTCCGGTTCGATTTTTCCCGTCATCATTTATTCAGCTGTTGACCACTACATGCTACACACATATATGTATATGTTACGGTAAATTATGTAATCGTGGTAAATTACGTTATTCCCCGAATTTAGCTTAAGATTGGTAAATAATATAAATGTAGACATTCCCCAGTTAAGTTGGAGAATGTTATGCAATACACTTATGTCGGTACGAACGATCAGTGATGAGTGTGTAAGTACACAAATAAGTTTTGTTAATTAAAAATTAAATAGATAAACTAAAATCCCGATTAACAATAATGTAGATAACCCAAGTAATAAAATAAGATAATCTACGAGTATTCGTTTATTAGTTAGTATCTACACGTATATTTAAGCAAGTTGTAGGTATATGCGATAAGCGCGTGTTTTATAATTATTTGTAATGATTTGTGTTACTCGTAAACTTAATATAATATAAGTTAAATTAAATTATAGCGTTGCAGCTCTACATAACTATCAACAGTTAAAAGAGAGGTAACAATTTATTTTAGGTTAAATTAAGGTATAACTAAAAGAAAATAATTAATCACCCAACAACAATAAATCATTATTATAAATAGTATATATAAATATAGTAATCAATCGGTGTATTATTTGAGATTTATCATCGTTTACCGCCAGTTTTAGTAAATTACGTCAATGGCAGTGAAAGATGTAAATTTTAATTTAAAATGTGGCTTTTTTACATAATTTATCTACCATAATCGAATCATTTTGGTAAAAGACGTCATCGACCGGGGAATGACGTCATCCACCAATTTTCATCTTTCACCGTAACATATATACACATCTAATAAGTGTTTATACCTAAAATATGATTTACCCATAGTGACAACTTTACATATATGATACAATATATTACATTAAAATTGACGATTTCATTTTTGGTTTTTTGTATACAGGTGCGACCAGCGTGCGAGTTGTGATGTGACGCAGGGTGGACGAGAGCATCGTACGCGTGATTAGCTGTAGCTGGGTGTGCTATGCTAGCCGCCCGCCACGTTCTGCTCCTGTTGGTGGCCGGTTCGTTTCTCGCCTTATCGGTCCTCGCGCTACCACAAGACAAAGGTACATAAAATAAAATGATAATTTAATACTGACATGATATATTTAAAATTACCTTTTTAGATCAATCTACATGTCTGAATAAATTTTTACCAATATAGTATATAACTATACATATATTTTTTTTTTTTTTTTTTTAATGTTTAATTTCTCATAAAATGCGTAATAAAATGTTATATTGACTGCTTCTTTATTCGCGTATTTAATTTAAAAAATTAATTGACACAATTAAATTAAATTAAAACGAATTATTTTATTATGGTTATAATAATTATTCTCAAAAAAAAAAAAACTAAATAAAGACAAAACTACTTTATTCTGCTCTAAAACTTAAAGAATATCATATATCGTGCAACAAACAAAACAGATATAGGTCATTTCAGAATCTTAAATAACATAAATTTTATGCAATTATACATTTTTTTTAAATAATTATAAAACGAATAAATATTAATAAAAGTGTTCAAACATAAGACATACTATTGCTATAACTTTAAAAAACGAAACTAATCGAATAATAATTAAATAACGTTAATTTTAAATATCAAATAAAAATATCATAACTAAACTTGTTTGTTATCGTGGACACACAAATAGGTAGGTAAATTAAACTGCTGACCGTATAAAACGCCATTTAAAATGAAAAAAAAATACATTGATATTTAAAATACGAAAATAATTCATACTGTTATTACAGTAGTAATTCAAAAAAAAAAAAAAGCATTGAGGTCAACCTATTTATTCATTTCTTTTTTTTCTTTTGGTTTTTTATATTTATAATTAACCTTATGTTTTGAGTAATTGGCATTTAATATTCGCTACTTCCGTTCTACCGTTTCTAGATAACAAACATTAAATAAAGGAAGGAAATATAATATTTATATTATAGGGGGATTAATGTATTATTTTATTTATTAAATACCGGCATTGGCTTAATATAAAAAATAATCGGATGATCTAGTTGTTATATTTTTCGTCTGAACCTCAATGTATGTTAATAAATAATATTAATTCAGGATACATCTGTTTTTGTTTATTAATAATGAACAATTATTTGGTCAATGCTACGCACGCTTGTATCAATATTGCATATACAAGGCGCCGGCACTGAATCTATTTAATTCATTTTAATATTATTATAATTTAAAATCATTACTCGTAAAAATATCAAAGATAATAAAACAGACGACGGTCGGTTAGATTAGGTACCATTGGGGTTGTGATAAATAATTGTGAATAGATATATTTTATCACTGCATTGATAAAGCACAGGTGTAAGATATTGGGTTTAATACGAGTTTTGACGAGATACGTTATAATACGTATAATTATTGATCTTATTGTAATGCCGTTGAGTATAATGTTTACTCGTGTCGATGACTGAGCAATCAAAGGAAAAACCGTTATTACAACGTATTGCTCACCTATACTACACAACTATGTGTACTACGACCACATCTATAAATGTATAAAACGACATCTTTGCCACCATTCTCCATAATATTTGACGACACGACACTTAGCGTAAACTATAATATTTACCCAAAGTATTCATCGTGTATAAATGGCAATAAGTATTTTTTAATATTATTAATGTGAGGCTGACAGCGTTAATGACTTTCGATAAATTGAAACTAAGTTTTTAGACACGTTACTTTTAGTTTACACGAACTTGACCGTGTCCCGTACAATAATTTTGTAGTACCGTGGACTTTCTATTATTATTAAACAGATGTTATATTATGATGGCGCTGTCTTCCCGTATTTGTGCTAGAGATATTATAAATGATAGTCGTTATTATTTATCGTCATTAACAATTAGGTAAATAGATTAAACATTATTAGATAGACAGTGCATGCTAGGTTATTATTACTACTATTACTTCAATTATAACACGGTCATATTATAATAAAATCCATAGATAGACGTGTTTAGTAACTACAGCAAGTGCTAATATAAGCTCACTATGCGTCTTATATGGATAATATTAACGATACCAATAACAGTTATTGTTGTTCCGGACACGCTTTCTGCCATAACTATTATTAAACCCATAGAAAGCTTCCCGTTCACGACATATAATATTGAAAATGCATACTATATAATATATATATATGCGTTTGATGTGTGAAAATCCTGCGAAAACACCACTATCCTTTCATCCATCTACCTCCATACTCACAAATACGTATACAATTTATTATTATGACGTGCACGCGTATTGTGCATATGATATATTATGATATACGTTACAGAATACTACGACCCGTGAGATTACTTGACACGGTTAATCGTCGACGAGAATCATAACATTGATCTCGTGTGATCTAAAATTAAAAATGACTGTTGTGTTCCGATGACGTGTTTATCTCGTATTATATAGTTCACAAAGATACTACGGTAAATAAATAAAATATTATGAAATATTTTATAACCAAATACCATCGTTTGTCGACAAAAATAATAACATATAAAGATTAATAAAATGAAATTCTTATGAGTGCACGTGTGTGCTCGATCCACAGTCAAATTTATCGCTATTATAGTTTTGAAATTTGCTACCTACATATAAAACATATTTCGAAGACAAATTTTAAAATTTTGCATTTAAAAAAAAATTCGTTAGTTCACAAAAAATGAATATTTTCTTATTTATATATTATGATTTCTGTTGGTATCAGAACATACAATTATTATAATTGGATATAATTGCAGATCTGTATTTTACGTTCGATAAAAACCGAATACAAATGGCTCTATAAAACGAATATTTAGTTTATATTTAACAGATTTTAAGAAAGGGAAAATCGGAGGAATTTTAATTTGTCATGGATAATGATCATGGATACTATCACAATATAATCTGTTAGATGGATAGATATTTTTTAAACTTCGACGTTTATCGCATACATCATACTCAACTATATGGGCAAGCAACCGATTAGAAAACAAAATCTGGCAGCAAAAAATCCCGCACGTTCACATCTATAAATCATCAAATGAATCTGTTGTAGTTGTTAACGATAACCTTTCACCGAAATTTTTGTTTTCCAGGCAGATACAAAAGCAATAATAGCGGATTCAAGTTACGCGAAGTCTCTTTTAATTTATAGCGTACACCCCCTTGTCGGTAAAAAAAAAAAAACCACTGTCAGATGGTGGGCATCTACAACCAATCGGATTTCTTAGTAAATATTCAAAATAAAATAAAAAAATAATATTTTGCAGTTTTCTAAACACTTACGTATATATTTTAAATTTTTATGATCGAGTAACATTTCAATTTAAACGAACGATTTATATCAGGCACATTGTTGAAATCAGAAAGTGTCGTATGTTTCGTTATTTTAAAACGACAGCATTCAAGAGAATAAAAGAAAGTTTAAAAATGAAATATATTATTTAAACACCATCCGAAAGTTAAAATCGTATGGTAATAAAAATATACGCAGTGGTGGATAATATATATATATATATATGCACTGTACTAAAACGGAATGCGTTATTGATTCCCGTGCGTAAAATGGGGTCACCTGTGTGCAATTATACACACGTCACGATTTTTATGATGGCGTGCATAGAAGATATCAAACTTAACTATACCCCTCGAAACGTGAATTATGCGGATTGGCCGACAAACTATGTTTATACGACAGGTAATAAAGAACTCATTTCAAAGAAAAAAATTTACTGTTAGGGGTATTGCATCCGTAAACAGTGATAAAATATCATTCTAGGAACAATATAACATACATTGTGTTATCAATAGAACAAATTGATTAAGCACAGTGCATATTATTATTATAGAATTTCAATAACCTTAAAATAAATCAAATTTACTTTTTGGGACTTTAATATAGTAATTAATTAAAATAATACAGCTACCTAGATTTATTATTTTACTTGCTGTAAAACACGCCATAACGTCATGCTTATAATGTTAAGCATAATATATCATTCATTATCAATCTTTGTTTTTTCGTTGACATTGTATCACCGTATCACCAAGTATTTTATTTTTAATTTATTATGGTACAAGACAGGCCCAAAGAACCAAAAATATAATTGTTATAAATAAATTTATTCTGAACTACTAATTTATATGATAAACGTAGTATTGTTCACCAGAAAGTGGCTATTTATAATATATAATATTTATCTTCGTTAACGAGCCGCCACATTAAATATCTCATTGGAGAATTTTATTCGAATTATAATTTATAGTAAAAAATGAAACGAACAAAGAGAATAAGATAACGTGTATTACAAATTGTTACACAAAAATTATAAAATAGAAATATAGAAAATAAACAAATTTAATTTCATTAATTAAAAGATTAAAAAAAAAATTAAACCATTGTATAACATATTTGAAATTGACGATAACATCAATAAAAAGCGAGAAATATGAACAGATTAATAGTAATGAAGATGGTAGGATATGTTATTTAAAAACGAAAAGGTTCTAAGAAATTCCTAACAACAGTGTTTGAGAGATCGCAGAGAAAAGTGAATCTTAATATAACATGAACGAGGGTGTTATACACACTCATACCCCACAGTATTCTATGATTTCAAAGAAGCGTAATACGATGAATATCGCGTTAAATTATAAATATTGATAACTACCATGTTAAAATTCTAATCATTTGGAAAGCAACAGAGAATACCGATGTTTACCCATATTAAAATAATATTAATTTTTTTCTGTGGTTAAAAATAATAAAATCCAATGATAAATTTAAACTTGTAATAATTTTAAATTTATAATGTTGTTTTTTGGTTTTCTCAGTTTACTTTTCCTTATAGTACGAAGTAGAATATTACATAAAAGTATAAATAATTTATAATATAGTTTAATAATATTATGTTCTTAACAAATCTCAATAAAAAATCTTAACACGTATTTCAAATTAAAATGAAACGATATATTGTTACAACTTTAAAACAGTATACACTATACAATTTCAATCAATATTGTACTGTACGGAGGATAAATAAG